AACAATAAATATTTTTTAAAACATACATTTTTCGAAACTTATAAATAATAAATAATAAATGAACGCAAATTTCATAATAAGTTATACCAACTGTCAATTTACTCTTTAAAGATGTATTTTATTTGCATTTTCGTTAATTATAATATTTTATCACATAGAAATGTCTCATTATTATTTTTGTTTATTTATTTATCCTCCCGCTTCAAAATTATCTTATATATAATTATATTTAAAAAATAATTTACAAGTTTATTTTATTTTTAATATAAATATATTTTAATATATATATATATGGTGTAAATGTTTAATGTCAAAATATAATAGATGTATCTGAAATTGAATTATATTACACGGTGTTTAGTGTAATTACCCCTCAAATAAAAACAAAGCAAAATACATATAAATCAAATATGTGGGGATCATTATGGGTAATCAGGAGATTTTAATGATATTATAGATAATTCTGAAAAGTCGAGAGGTAGAATAAGAGAGATTTCTTCTTTTCGAGATTTTAAAAGCTTTTCATGGGAAATAGAAACTATAGATTTAGGTTTCAATGGAAAACCGAGGACTTGGTGGTGCTTTAGAGAAAATGATGACATAATTCATGAGAGATTAGATAGAATCATAAGCTCGCCGGATTGGATATTAGAGTTCAGCCTCGTAAATATAATTAACATAGAAACAGAGGCTTCTGATCATAGTGCTTTGTTAATGAACACGGAGCCTACTTTTAGGGGAAAAAAGAGGCTATATTTTGATAAGCGTTGGAGTGAAAAGGAAGAGGTGAACATGACTATAACTCGATCAGAATAGCTCTGTTGAAGGGTTTAAACAATCCAAAATAACCTTTAAACTAAAGAATTGTCAAATCTCTTTATTAGCTTGGCTTCGAGGGGATAAGGAAAATTCTAAGAAAAAATTCAAGGGATTAAAAGTAGAATTGATGATCTGAAGAACGATCCTAGGAATTTTAATCTTAATAAATTAAGATTGCTTCGCAAGGAATTAGGACAGGCGTATAAGGATGAAGAAGCCTACTGAAAACAAAAATCTAGAGCTTTATGGCTTCAAGAAGGCAATAAAAACACTTCTTTTTTTCATATGAAAACGATTCAGAGGCGTAAGTGTAACAATATTAAGGGGCTTACTTTAGATGATGGACATTGGATTTTCGATCATAGTGATATTGTAATAGAAGTAGAAAGATTTTATAAAAATTTATTCACTACTTCTCAACCTACAAACTTTGATCACGTTCTTCATCTAGTTCATACCTTAGTAGATAATTCTGTTAATGATATGCTTACTAGAGGAGTAACAAATGAGGAAATTAAACAAGCTATTTTTTATATGCATCCGTTAAAAGCTTCAGGAGTAGACGGTATGATACCATTTTTCTTTCAAAAGTATTGGAATATTGTCTTTGTTGATGTTTGTGAAGCTGTAAAATGTTTTTTTTTTTAATTTAGGATATTTGCTACCTTCTTGGAACCAGACTCTTATAACTTTGATCCCTAAAGTGAAAAATCCTAGTGATGTTAGTCAATTTCGACCCATAAGTTTATGTTCTACAATGTACAAAATTATTGCTAAAATTATTGTCAAGAGACTTAAAGGTTACCTGCACAATATTATTTCTCTAAATCAATATGCTTTTATTGAAAAACGACAAATAGTTGATAATGTTGTTCTAGCTCATGAGTTCATCCATCTTCTTAAAAATAAAAGACGTGGAAAACAAAAATATATAGCCCTTAAGCTAGATATGGCTAAAGCTTATGATCGAGTTGAATGGGTTTATATTCAAAAACTACTTGTTAAAATAGGTTTTCATGAGACTTTTATTAATTGGATTATGCAATGCATCACTACGCCAACGTATAAATTTAATATTAATGAGGACATAGTGGGAGAAGTGAAACCTACTAGAGGATTAAGGCAAGGAGATCAACTTTCTCCATACCTCTTCCTGTTATGTGCGGAAGGTCTTTTCAGAATCTTAAATCAAGCGGACAAGGTTTAAGCTTAAGTAGAAGGGGGCCTACGATTAATCATTTATTTTTTGTTGATGACTCTTTTATCTTTTGTAATGCTAATATTCAGAACGCTCAAAAAATTTCTGAAATTTTAAAAATATATGAAAAGTGCTCGGGACAAAAGGTGAACTTCACTAAATCTGCTATTTTCTTTAGTAAAAATTGTTCTGATATTGAAAAAGATAATATTAGCGAAGTGTTAGTTCAACTACAAAGGAATAACTTAGGATTATATTTGGGGCTGCCTACGGTAGTTGGAAGAGCAAAGAAAAAAATGCTAGATTTTATTAAAGATAGGGTGAAATCCAAAATAAAAGGGTGGAAAAATAACTTCTTAAGTCCGGCAGAAAAAGAAGTGATGCTTAAATATGTTTTATCTGCTATTCCATCTTATGCATTATCCTGTTTTCAATTTCTGAATTCCTTAAGTAAAGAGATTACGACTATCTTATCTAATTTCTGGTGGAGGCATGTTAAGGATAAAAGGAAGATGCATTTTGAAAAATGGGAGACTCTATGTTCAACAAAGTCTAAAAGGGGCATAGACTTTAGAGAGTTAAAGTCTTTTGATCAAGCATTGTTGGCAAAGCTTGCTTGGCGAATTTTGACTCAAGAAGATTCATTACTTTTTAGAATCCTGAAGAGTAAATATTTTTCGCATACTTCTCTCCTTAAAGCCTCTTGTTCGTCTACTAGTACTTGGATTTGGAAAAGCATTATTTGGGGTAGAGATCTTTTACAAAAGGACATTAGATGGAGGGTAGGCTTTGGAGAAAGTATTAAAGTGTAGACAGACCCGTGGATTCCTAACTCTAGTGGATTTAAACCTAGTATGATGCATGCTCCAATAGATGTTGAGTTGAGAGTGAATGATCTTATAGAGGAAAGTACCCATACATGGAAATCGGATGATCTTCAGAATTGTTTTTGCCCAAATGATTTCCATACAATAGTCTCTATACCTATTTCAACCACAGGCTCATCAGATAAGATTATTTGGCACCATACCAAGTCTGGAAAGTATGAGGTTAAATTAGGATACCACTTAGCTAGGGAAATGATTAGATGTGAACAAATGAGTAATGAGAGAGCCCAATCTAGTAATCAGTCTTTCTCAAAAGAATTCTGGAACTTTTTATGGTCTATGAATATTAAAAATAAGTATAACCATTTTATTCGGAAATGTATTTTGAATGTATTACCGATTAACCACATGATTTCTAGGAGAACGAGGCATATGTGTGGAGTGTGTAAGGGTTGTGGACTTGAGAGTGAAACGATTGATCACATGTTGTTTAGGTGTCCTAGTGCTCAATTAGTTTGGAAAAGTTGCCCCATTATTGGCCTAGTTTAGAAAATACTGTGGATTTTGTTGGATGGTGGAATGATTTTTTTACTAATGCTAAAAAAAACACTGATTCTATTGAGCTTATAAAATTAAGTATTTCTATTATGTGGCAAATTTGGAAGGCTAGAAATTCGAAGAGTTTCAATGGAGAAATTTCTGATCCTAATGATATTGTTAACAAAGCTCTTTTTGATTTCCATGAATATGAAAGCAATTTGATTCCTCCATTTCCCCCTATAGTTATACATGCTTGTAATAATGATAGAAATATAACTATGGCACAAGATGGTATTGTTGTGTTTGTAGATGCTAGTGTACATAAGGAAAAGAAGATGACAAACATCATGCCTTTGGTACCCCAATTCAATATGTTGGGAAAGTCATCACTGCTGAAGCAATTGCAATTCGTACGACGCTGGACAATGCTAGAGAAAATGGGTGGACAAAGGTGCAAATCTTATCAGATGCAAAAAATGTGGTGGATATGGTACTACAAAGAACTATAATCTCATGGAAGATAGAGACTACTTGTGAAGACATTTGGAACCTTATGAAGTGCTTTGAAGTGGTCAATGTGACGCATATTCCAAGGTCTTGGAATTTAGTGGCACATAATTTAGCAAAATTTTCTATTGCGTTAGTACGCAAAGTTGTTTGGCTTTCTACTTTCCCTAAATGGATTGTAAGTGATGCTATCACATCTTTTAACTCTTTGAACCATTTTATGCATTAATATAAGTAGCGTGTTGATTGTTAAAAAAATTATTTGTAACTTATGATTGCTTTGTACTTTTAAACTCTTGATTTATCAACCTCTAGTTTGTTTTAATACACAAAGTAAAGAAGTTATCCAAAGTTCATCATCCAAAGTTCTACAAAAATTCATTTATTCACAAAGTATTTATTGTTATAAATCCATTGAATTGTGGATTGTCCATTTGATTTATTCAAAAATTAATTAAGTTCATGTATGTATACTTTCAAGGTGATAAGAACCTTTTTAGATAACTAGGTATCTACTAGTTTGGTTACCTTTGGGGGTGATATCTCAACACTATAAATAGAGATATCATTCACCACTTGAAAAACACACTTGAATAGAAGAAAAGTCCTCTTCTTCATCTTCATATCTTGTCTTCTTCTCTTTATATTATATTATTCAGAGCTTATATTTTATAACACGTCATCAACACAAATATGCTTTAAAAATTGTAATACTTTGCAAAAGAGTTGTAGCTGAAACACTTAGGAGAGCAAGAACAAGTTCTATTTATTTTTTCTCGTTACACATTTATATTTTCAAAAGTTCCTCTTATACTAATAATTTACTAAGCGTATTTTCTTAAAGCAGTGTTCCAAAATAGTATTTTCGAGGGGAAATTACTTTTTTTTTCAGCTTTTGAAGAACAACTTTGCTACTCCGGAAAAATACTTATTTTCCCAAACTTTTTGCAGAACCTCACTTTTTTTGTTTTGTTTGAGAAAAGCACGTACGATCTCACAAAAGCATGGTCCAACATGCTATAAAAATGCAATGCTTGACAATACATATGTAAATGGACAGAGAATGTACAGTGTGCTATGGAAACACAAAAACAAAAAGCATAAGATCATAGAAACACGAAAAACATGAAAACCACCCTGTCAAAGAGAATAGACTTAAAACACAGAAGTAGCGTTACAAGTTTTTATTGTATGTGTTTCATACACACAAGTTTACACATTACACTGCACCTTCAACTCATGAAGCAAAACATTCTTAAAGTTTTCAAATTGCAAGAGATTTCACCTCATCCACTTTCCAGAGGTCTTCATACTTGTACCACCTCATGAACCCTTCATCATTTCGAGTGCGCTGACACATGATGCATGAGTCACTCATGCAGGTTAGGAACTTGTCTAACCTAGATGCTTTTTCGAGAATGGATTCATCAAGCTCAGTCAGAATTTTCGTAGGTGCGGGTGGAGGAAGATCTTCAGTAATTATGCAATGCGATATGTTGAGCACTTTCAACTGTTTTAACCCCTCCAAGAGAATAACCAAAGCAGATTTAGATAACTCCGTGCACCTCACACTCAACACTTTCAAGTTTGGAAGAAATGATACTAGTGTAGACGCAAACAGAATATCACAAGGCCCCATAATTTTGAGCTCAGCAATTTTTTTGCAACTCCTTGCAATTTTCTTGATGACATAGGCAGGTTTTTCTAAACTAGGCATGGTCAGTGATTCAAGATCTTTCCATTTACGAAAAGCACGGCGTATTGCTGGCTTTTCTAGTTTTTCCCAAGCAGGCATAACAAGGCGTTTAAGCCGTGGACACCTGAAAAAGAGGAGATAATATCATGCTTGAATGTACTGCTCAAATTTGAGATATAACTTCATAAGTGAAAGTGAGTTGGAAAACAGGTTGTAAGTTGTTTCCAAATTTGAAATACAACTTCAAGTTGAATTTGAAATTTTCATGGCCAAACAACTGATTTTTCAAATAAATCGAAAAATTACTCCGGAAAAAAGTGAATATTTTCATGAACTCTGAAACGATGCTTGCTGTACGGTTTTTTGATTTAAGGTATAGTATTATAGAAAGATAAAAGTTTATCAGGGGAATACCTATTGGCAGTATAAGTCAACTGATTGTCGTCAACATACAAATTGTAATGGAAGATCAATGTTTCTATGTTTCCATGACTGAGGTTCATGCAAATCTTTAGGAGGCGGGTCAATTTTTCACGAGACGGAGTGTCCACAAATACATATGGCTCTGTTAAAATTCTGATGAAATTTGATTGCAACACCGACAAGTCCAGCGTTTTCCAGAGAAGTGGATCAGAACAAGCCAATTGCCATGCACGACAAACTTGAGGAACTGCATATATCAACTGGAAAAGGTCAAAGGACTGGAGTATCTTCACCAAGATATCATTATCAAGGTCCTCCCATCTCCTTACAGGAGAATCTCCTTTTTCCATAACAACAGCTTCAATCTCCTAAACTCCTGTAGAAACAAGAAAGGTTATTACTTCACTAGATCCATGAAGAATATTTGAATTTCTGACGTCAAATTGATGTTTCTGATTGTCATTTTGTGTTCTAGTGAATATACTCAGACCATGAAGAATAAAAAGTTAAGCCCTGCAATACGAAGAAACATAGAAGAGTGTACAAATACGTCTGAGGAAGGTGAAGAAACTAGGAAACTATAACCTGGAACTTAAGTTGGTTGTAGATAACGACAGAGAACTAAGTTCTTTCTGGCATAGCTGATGGAAGTATAACATTTTGGATAAAAATAATCACTACTGAAAGCAAAATCATACAAAAAAGGAGGAAGTAACATTGATTTGCACATAAAATTCCCTAAAGAGGAAAATTCAATGTCCTGAGCATTCTGATGGAAAAACTGAAGACTTGTTATATGTTTTGAAGGGCAAGACAAGTACAAAGAGAACTGGGGAATGGAACAAGTTTGTGCCGAAAAAGATGCATATAGTTTCCAGGAACCAAATAGAAGGGGATTTAAAAGCACAATACTTCATCCCTTCTATTTTACTTGAATAGGAACAAAAATAAATAAGTTAACATGATTTGTGCATTTAAGTAATTCCTAAAACTGGTCAAAGATAATAGCAATACAAGTACAAGTACAATAATAACAAGGGCTTCATCTCAAAATTTTGGAATAGATTGTATGGTCCCTTTGTAATCATTCCGCTCTATGTGGGTTCAAATTTTCAATACTACTTTACAACAACTTAAATGGAGTGATATGGACATTGAGCATTCATATAGCCAACCCCAACTGGTTTGGGATTGAGGTGTAGTTGTACTTTACAATAGCTATACTTCAAACCTAAACTAATTGAGATGTTATATGAACACTCAATATACATTCCGTTCCATTTGGAGCAGTTTCATTCCAATACTCAGATAATTATTAAGGGAGGTGTAGTTGCACTTTACAATAGCTATACTTCAAACCTAAACTAATTGAGGTCGGCTATATGAACACTCAATATACATTCCGTTCCATTTGGAGCAGTTTCATTCCAATACTCAAATAATTATTAAGGATACTCTATTACCAAAGGCTTTCTATATTTTCTACTGAAATACAAATCAGTAATGAACTAAAAAGACTCTTGGCAAACAACATACTTGTACAAGTGTAGCAACATAAAATAAACGTTAATCCTAACCATTGGAATTACCTATGGATCTTGTGCTTCATTTATATTTTGTATTAAGCTAATTTCACAAGAATCTCGAAATTGCAAGTCTTTTGGGATAACTTTTTTTTATGACAACTTTTGGGATAACTTTGCCCATGTGATTGTAATGTTTAGCTCGTCCGTTTGACCGTTTTAACACCTTCAACCATCAGTGCCAAACCTATACACCAGTGCAATTGAAATTCTAACGTAGACATTTCCAAACTATAATTCAGGACCTTCTTTCTTTTTATCTTCTACATGTGCTACTTTTGTACCTTGTCATAATGATCACTTATTTTATCTAGTTTTGTATGACCACGCACCATCACACCATTGGCATTTCTACAACACTCATTTTTTTGATACGCACTCAAGCCATACCCCATCATTAGTCTCACAACTATCTAACAAAACCTATCTTCCACTCTGGTATGAATCTCCTTATCGCATGACACTCCTCCATTTCAACTATAAGATTTTAATCTATGTGTTGCCTCTTCGTCTATCAGAATATCATTCCATTGACGTGGAAACTGAGCCTAGACATATTAATAGTCTGTGAACTCACTTTGATGATCTCAGATCTGAATAAAGAAGTGTTGTGGTGAATAAATGATCAATGTAATACTAGTTTATCCTCACGGTAAGGAATTTTTAAGAGAAATGATATCAAATACTTTGTAATTTCCCGAAATAAAGCATCATACAAATTGTGACAAATGGAGTATTGATAAAAAGTCCTGAACAACAGAACCAATGATAGTTGGTAGGGGGATCCGCATATGACTAAATTCTAAATTGAAAGCTAAACTAGCAAGTAAACATGATGGATCTTTTCAATCCACTTCTGACAAAAGCTGAAAAAAAAACAAGTAGTTAGAGAATGGAAAGGAAGAGAACTTGAATGAAATGGTACTTCACTGTGGTTCTTGTCTTCTTATCATAAACAAACTAGAGTTCTCACCATTCATCAAGTTTCTCAAATGAGTGAAGTATCAATTGAACTATAACAATCAATAATGGATGTTGATATTTTACTAAAATTACCCGCTCACAGACAAAATCTCTAACTCGCCCCTTCTGTTACAGCTCAAATCAATGTCAACCACAAAATTGTATTGAGTTTTTGATCAATGATATTAATTTGTCACACCTTTTTCCCAATACAACTGTACTTGGGTTTGAAGGGAAAGGATTGGTAATTTTTTTAAGCATACAGAAGAAAATATATAGAGGTTGTTCCACAGCGTAAACAGCATTGTGAGCACTAAAGACTGCCTTTCTGAAATGGCCCCTGGGGCTTTGGTCTAGTGGTAAGAGCAGATCACGTATTGTGTGGGTCAAGAGCACATCAGGGGTTAGAAGCATGTTGCAAACAAAACCCTGGTAGTTAAGGGAGGAAGGGCAGAGGATATGGTTCATTATCCACCGGATTTCGATCTGTGTGCCATAGGCCCTCGGGAATTTTTCAGTTGTCAGAAAAGAAAAAATCATTTTCAAATGGGTTCAATCAGATAATCACAAGCTTATGTGTCAACAAGGGTCTTTGAATATAGGTTTTTGATGTAGGCCAAGAGAGGAGATCTCAGGTCTATAATGGACAGCAAAGATGCAGCATATCTGGCACTGATTTTGTGCTGGTATATAGCTGAATTCAGAAACAAATCCCTAGGGACAGAAAGCCTCTAGAGGAGACAAAAGATCAGCAATAAATTAAATCATCAAGAAGGAAACAAGTAAACAAGCAAACAGAAGGTTCGCTGTTTGCCTGGTGATGAATATGAGGCCTACAACAATCTCTCTCAAACTACTAATCATCTATCTATGCCCTACGAAGCTGATAGGTGAGATGCCCCAAAATCCAAATTTCTTTTTGAGAAAAGAAAAAGATGGAATAATCAAAGCACCATTTGCATTTAACCTATGTAGGTCAAAAAATGATGTTATAATTTTTTTGGATAACGATGAGAATACTGTAAAAGCATCAAAAGAACCTACGTTCTTGATTGGAGAACTCCAACTGCATCGTTAGTTAACAAAATGAAAATTCAGTAAATCAAAACCAACCTCGACAATGATTTAAACGTTAATAACAAGAAAATACGCATTTTATCATACCACACTAATAATAGAAATGCAGGACACCACGACATGCAAATTCAGATCTGTACGGGCAAAACTCAAATAGCCAGAAAAAGGAAAAAAAAGTTCCACCACACTAATAATAGAAATGCAGGACACCACGACATGCAAATTCAGACAACCTTGAATTCAGATCTGTATGGGCAAAACTCAAATAGACAGAAAAAGGGAAAAAAAGTTCCACAAGGTGTACACAGAATTCCTTTAACACCCACAACAACTTTTGGAATCAAGATCCAACATGAGTAAAAAAATAAATCCGAAAAACAACCATAAAGAATGTAAGAAGAAAAAAAGACAAGAGAGATTTAGGACATGCCTTTAGATTGTTGCTTCACTTCAGCAGTTCAGTGTGTGCGAAAAAAATTGGGTGAAAATTGTGGGTTGATAGTGTAGCTTTGATGAGGAATGAGATTCGGATATGAGGAAATGACCATAAAAAACCCCACACATTGGCAGGTGTCCGCTGTTAAACTGTAATAGTAATAAAGAGTACCAACAACTCCCCACTGCCAAATGGAAGTGTCATCCTATCGGGGAGATGTTCACACCTGTAACTTGATTCTGGTCAACAGTCTTTAACTTTTTTCCTTTTTTGCTTAGGAGATACATCCTACCTGTATTTTTGATAAATGACAAAAAGAAATATCTAAGTGAGATTTTCTTTTGAGTTAATACCTCTAAACTCCCTAAACTATTCACATTTTATCCATTTAACACTTGAATTATGGGGTACTGTGGTTAACCCCTGAACTATAGACCAGGTGATATGGAGAGTGACAGTCAAAAAGCGCATTCATGTTGACCTAGTACACTCTGTGAGGTCCGGCATTTTCTCCGATTCACCTCGTTTAGTGCATTTCCATTACTTGAATGGAAGCTTATGCAAATTGATTACTTACCTTAATTTTCTTTCTAAAAATCAAAGTTAATATTGGCTGGTAAATTCTACCCAATAGAGAATTATATTTCATATTTCTCTTATTTCAGAGAGGATTTTAGTAACGATCGACGCCCTCATCTTTGAAAGACTTAAGAGACGTTGATTCTCTAAATTACTTGACTTTCATATTCTTCCAACTAATCACTCTTGTAATTCTCATATTAAACAATCTGTAATCCTTTTAAGAGTCTAATCAGTAAAGTGGCCAACTAAATAATTGATAATGTTTAAGTCGTAGGGCTCACAAGTCTATGAATTCCAAGAACACGAGACTCTTACTGTTATTTATTATACACACTAAAGTAACATCGAAAGATTATGTGGTACTTGTCATTAAAAAAAAAAGAAGAATCTATAGATTTTTTATTTTGAAGCTAATCTTTTACCTTGCATGTTCAAGTCATTCACCTTGTCTTTTAGTTCCCAGTAAAAATGATATAAATGGAAATCAATCAGCTACGTCTTTAAATGAGATTAGAAAAAGTAGTGATAAAAATAATTATAATGAACATGCATTCATAATCAGAAAGAGATTTAGACGTTTGAAATATGTCTATCGCATTATTTTGAAACACTTCATATCATCTAGTTTGATATTTACGTCAAGATTAAGTAATCCAAATGAAATTTACACAAATCTAATGATGTGTCTACAAGTATTTGTACTATTTGCATTAACGAAAGAAAAAGAGAAAAAGAACAATAAATCTCTCAGATGGTATTTCAAGAGTTCTTATGAGCATTTAAATTTGATAATGAAAACATATAATACATACGTGAGAAATAGGATTTCTTCTTCTTTTTTAGAAAAGAAGATAAATGAGCTATATGAGAGTTTTTAAAGTCATACTTTGTACGAAAAGGGTAAAAAATGTCCTAACGTATTGGAATGGAGAAAAGGCTCAAAATGACCCTATTTCTTTCACATGGAACACTAATGTCCCTATTCTTTGAAAAAGTGGTGAACACATAGTGAATTTTAACAGAGACTAAATTTCATATGCTTTTCACGCGTTTCTGACCCTAAGTTCTAACCTTCATTCTTCTCTTCCCTCTTTACTAAGACACATGCAGGCAAACATATACACATAGAACTAAAGATATATGTTAGTCTTGTTTGTAACTTCTTCTGTTCACTTTCCATAAATTGTTGGCTTCCTCCAAATGAACTGCTTGTGAAAATTATGGATCTTCAACTAGATCAATCTTAGTGAATTTCTCGAAGGGCTACACCTGTGTAGGAAGGTAAAATTGTTTAAATTGCCTAGAGAATTTTTGACAATATTATGTTTCGACAGTCCTATCACTTTAAGATGTTTAATAGTGTCTTCCTAGTCTTCCCTAGCAAATATTAGTTTCTCACCCACAATTACTTCCAAGTTAATAACTTAGTATGTTCATTATACCAGCAAGGCTTGCTAGCTGTTGTTGACTAATAGAGATTCAATCGATTAGGTGATAGTTAGTACAAGTCAAAAGCTGTAAATTGAGTTAGCTGAGATAAAATCTCCACGCATGACTAATTTAGCAGAAAATTAAATATTCTACGATCAGTAACTCTCTTTTTTTCTTTTCTCTACCAAAAGTTCCCCAACTTTCACATTAAGCTTAGAACTTTCCACAACAAAAATCTAAGAATTCAAATTCAAAGCTTCACATAGAAAGTACTAAATAAGATGAAAATTACCTTGTAAAGAAAACCTACCCAGAACACATAATAGCTCAGAACAGTATGAAAATTACCTACTCTGTGAAATATGATAGATCTGACCCTTGATTGCCATCTTCTTTGAATCAACCTGCTTCAATTCCTCTTCATAAATCTGTCCAAGATGAACTGGAGGTGGCAGAGGTTGGATCTGTTCCTTGAAATCTCTATTGGTGAGCATGATATGGTGAACCAAAACACTACGAGACAGCATAGTGTAAAAGAATTTGGCGGAGAGAGACCTGTGATAGAATCTACAGCAATACTTCTACTTCGAGAAGATGAAGAAGAGGAGACCACAATATAGCTTTCTCCAACAATTGAATGAAATTGAAAATTAATCTACACTAGAATAATATATTACCTTGAATTTTTTTTATAGACTCGGACATGTGATTTTATTTACATGAAATCAAATTACTGTTGAACAGTTGAAGTGCAATTTTATTTCATGATTTTAGAATCATGTCATGAAATATCAAATTAGCCACTTTTTTTGAGAATTTCATTTCATAATTTCACATTTATCTATATAAAAATTGGCCCATAAATTTATATTTGTAAAAAAAAAGTTCATCATTTTATATTTACATAATTTTTGCGAAAATATTAAAGGAGGATGAAATATTCACAAAATATAAACATGGTGATATATTTACTAATGATATTGATTGATACACAACTCAAAGTAAAAAATAGTATACTTCAACTCATGTTCAATTTTTACCTTCTTATGAATTAAAGTTTTTCAATTGTTTGTAGTTTGCATCACCTTAATTCTTTAAGGAGTTTAGATATGAAACTCACAAAACTTCCATAAAAGAATAATAACATGTTTAGTTGAGTTTTTAAAAATCAGCTTAATAAGAAAAACATTTTTTTCAAGTGTTCCTTTTCTTTAAAAAAAAGATTACTTCTACTGAATAACAATGTGTTCGATAAATTAATTTTAAAAGCTCTTTAAGCAACTTAGTGCTTCACCAATTTTTTAAAAACTATTTCTAAGTATAAGTATATATTCTCAAAAGTATTTCCACATAAGTAATTTGGAAGAAAATCTACTTTTTTCCGTTTTGGAAAACAACTCTTGCCAATTTCAAAGACATTTATTTTCTCCCATAGTTTAACCAAATATCTCACCTTTTTAATGAGAAAATAAACACGTTTAGCATCCCAAAAGCTTAGCAAAACAAAGTATAAGCTTACTATGCTTGGCAATACATATAAAACTGGGTAAATAATTCACTGTGTACTACGAAAACACAGAAACGAAAAGCACAAGTTCATAGAAACACAGAGAACATGAAACCTACACAAGCTTCCACATTTACTCCAGACCTTCAGCTCATGAAGCAATATCTTCTTAAAAGTTGTCAAACTGCAAGAGATTTCACCTCATCCACTTTCCAGAGGTCTTCTTCATACTTATACCACCTCATAAACCCTTGATCATTCAGAGCACGCTGACACATGATGCATGAGTCACTCATGCAGGTTAGGAATTTGTCTAACCTAGACGCTTTTTCAAGAATTGATTCATCCAGCTCGGTCAGAATATTCATCGGTTCAAGTGGAGGATCTTCAGGGTCTTCAGTAATTATGCAATGAGATATGTTGAGCACTTTCAACTTTTTCAACTCCTCCAAGATAATAGCCAGAGCAGGTTTAGATAACACCGTGCACCTCACACTCAATACTTCCAAGTTTGGAAGAAATGAAGCCAGTGCAGATGCAAACAGCATATCACAGGGCCCCATAATTTTGAGCGCGGAAAAATTTTGGCAACTCCTGCCAATTTCCTCGATGACACGTGCAGGATTATTTATACTTGGCATCGTTAGTGATTCAAGATCTTTCCATATATGAATAGCCCTGCACATTGTTCGCTTTTTAATTTTGTTCCAAGAAGGCATAACTAGGCGTTTAAGCCGTGGACACCTGAAAAAGAGGAGATCTAATTAGCTGTCTTATTCATTTTCACAGTAATTTTTGCTTCTCTAAGAATAATGGTTAGGGATCTGATATCTCTGAAACGTTGCTTGCTGTATGGTTTCTTGATTTAAGTTATAATTATAATACTATAGAAAGATGAAAGTTTATTGGGGGAATACCTCTCGGCAGCAAAAGTCAACTGATTGTCGTTAACATACAAATTGGTATGGAAGATCAATGTTTGTATGTTTCCATGACTGAGGTTCAAGCAAATATTTAGGAGTCCGGTCAATTTTTTTTCAGACGGACTGTCGACATATACGTATGGCTTCAATGGGAGTCTGATGAAATTTGATTGCAACACGGACAAGTCCAGCGTTTTCCAGAGAAGTGGATCACAACAAGCCAATCGCCATGCACGACAAACTTGAGGAATTGCATATATCAACTGGAAAAGGTCAAAGGACAGGAGTATCGTCACCAAGATATTAATATCAAGGTCCTCCCATCTCCTTACCGGAGAATCTCCTTTTTCCATAACAACAGCCTCAATCTTTCTTTCTTTTTTAAATTCCATCATAAAGCTTCAATCTCCTAAACTCCTGTAGAAACGAGAAAGGCTATTAGTTCACTAGATCCATGAAGAATATTTGAATTTCTGACGTCAAATTGATATGTTGCTGATTGTCTTTCTGTGTCAGACCATGAAGAATAAAAAGTTAAGCCCTGCAATACGAAGAAACATAGAAGAGTGTACAAATACGTCTGAGGGGTACTGTGATGCCTAAAAGTGAAGAAACTAGGAAAAAATAACCTGGAACAGTTGGTTGTAGATAACGATAGAGAACTATGTTCTTGCTGGCATAGCTGATGGAAGTATCACATTTCGGATAAAATAATCCTTACTGAAAGCAAAATCATACAAAAAAGGAGGAAGTAACATTGATTTGCACAAAAATTCCCTGAAGAGGAAAATTCAACGTCCTGAGCACAAGGATGGAAAAGCTGAAGACTTGTCGTATGTTTTGAAGAGCAAGACAAGTACAAAGAGAACTGGTATGGTCCCTTTGTAACCATTTCGCTCTACGCGAATTCAAATTTTCAATACTACTTTACAATAGCTTAAATGGAGTGATATGGACATTGAGGATTCATATAGCTAATTCCAACTGGTTTGGGATTGAGGTGTAGTTGTACTTTACAATAGCTATGTTTCAAACCTAAACTAATGAGGTCAGGTATGTGAACACTCAAATATACATTCTGTTCCGTTTGGAGCAGTTTCATTTCAATACTCAGATAATTATCAAGGATGCTCTATTATAAAGATTTTCTATATTTTCTACCGAAATACAAATCAGAAATGAACTAAAAAGATCCTAGCAAACAACATAATTAATACAAGTGTAGCAACATAAAATAAACCTTTAATCCTAACCATTGGAATTACATATGTATCTTGTGCATCATCTATATTTTGTATTTTGTTAATTTCACAAGAATCTCGAAAAATTGCAAGTCTTTTGGGACAACTTTCTCCATGTAATTGTAATGTTTACCTCGTCCGTATTAACACCTTCAGCCATCATAGTGTCAAACCAATACACCAGTACAATTGTAACTTCGAAGGTAGACAACTCTAAACTATAATTCAGGACCTTCTTTCCTTTTACCTTCTACATGTGCTACTTGTACCTTAATCATCACTTATTTTGTCTAGTTTTGTAATACCACACACCATCATACCATTCACATTTCTACAGCACTCATTTTTCATTATGCACTCAAGCCATGCACCATCATAGGTTTCACAACTCTCTTACTAAACCAAGCTTTTACACCAGTATGTATCTCCTTATTGCACAACACTCCTCTATTTCAACTATAAGTTTTTTTATGTTTTGTGTCTTGGTCTAGCAGAATATCACACCATTGACGTGGAAATGAGCCTAGACTATGAACGATCTATGTGAACTCAGTTTGATGATCTCAGACCTGAATAAAGGAGTGTTGTGGCAAACAATTGATCAATGTAATACTAGTTTATCCTCACAGTAAGGAATTAATAGGATAAATGATATCAATTATTTTGTTATGTCCTGAAATAAAGCATCATACAAATTGGGACAAATGGAGTATTGATAAAAAGTCTTCAACAACAGAACCAATGATAGTTGGACTTGGTTGGGACAAATGGATTATATGACTAAATTCTATTTTGAAAGCTAAACTAGCAAGTAAGCATGATGGATCTTCAATCCAAATCTAACGAAAGCTGAAAAAAACAAGTACTTCCGTACCCCCGAATCTTAAAATTTAGATTTTGCCCGCAACCAAGTCCCAAGCAACTTAGCGATAAAGTGCTTTTCATCGCCTGATTTCCATAGTAAAGAGGGACCTAACATTAGAGTTTTAGCAGCTGATATGAAGCCTACATCAATCTTTTCTCTCATATAAACTACTAATCATCTATCTACAGAGCTTATATGTTAGATGCCTCAAAATCCAAATTTCTTTTTGAGAAAAGAAAAGACGGAATACAAAAGCACCATTTGCATTTAACCTATGCAGGTCAAAAAATGATGTTACAATTTTTTTGAATAACAATGAGAAGTTTGTAAAAGCATCAAAAGAAGCTACATTCTTGATTGCAGGACTCAAATTCAATCGCTATATAAACAAAATGAAAATTCAGTAAATCAAAACCAACCTTGACAAAGAATAAAACATTAATAACAAGAAAACACACATTTTATATGGGCAAAAAATAAATAGCTAGAAAAGGGAGAAAATAATTCCACAAGGTGTACACCGAATTCTTTTAACACCTACAACAACTTTGGTAATCAAGATCCGACATGAGTAAAGAATTAATCAGAAAAACAACCTTAGAGAATGTAAGAAGAAGATAAGACAGAGAGAGATTTAGGACATGCCTTTAGATTGTTTATTCACTTCAGTGTGCGCAAAAATTATTGGGTGAAAATTGTGGGATGTTAGTGTGCTTTGATGAGGAGTGAGAGTCGTATACGAAATCTTGGTCAAATGGAAATGGAAATGTCATCCACCTGTAAATTGATTCTGGTCAACAATCTTTAACATTTTTTCTTTTTTTGCTTCATCCACCTGTAAATTGATTCTGGTCAACAATCTTTAACATTTTTTCCTTTTTTGCTATCCTACCTGTTTTTTTTTTTGATAAACGACAAAAAAAAAATCTAAGTGAGATTTTCTTTTGAGTTAATACCTCTAAACTCCCCAAATTATTCACAATTTCCAGTTCAACACTTAAATTATGGAGTATTGTGGACAGTTGGTGTTAACCCCTGAACTATAGACCACGTGATATGGAGAGTGACAGTCAAAATGAGCATTTATGTGGACCTAGTACACTGTGTGAGGTCCGTCATTTCCTCAGATTCACCTCATTTAGTGCATTTCTATTACTTGAATGGCAGCTTATGCAAATTGATTACATAATTTTCTTTCTATAAATATCAAAGTTAAAATTGGCTGGTAAATTCTATCTAATATAGAATTATATTTAATATTTTTTTGTTTTCAGAGAGGATTTTAGTAACGATCGACACCCTCTTTTTTGAAGACTTAAGAGACGTAGATTCTCTAAATTACTTGACTCTCATATTCTTTCAACTAATCACTTTCGTAAAATTCTCAGATTATACAATATGTAATCCTTTTAAGTGTCTAATCAGTAAAGTGTTAAACTAAACATCTGATAATGTTTTAGTCGTTGGGCTCGCAAGTCTATGAATTCAAAGAACACAAGACTCTTACAGTTATTTATTATACACACTAAAGTAAAATTAAAAGATTATATAGTACTTGTTAATTAAAAAAAATATTTTTGAAGATGATCTTTTACCTTTGCATGTTCAAGCCATTTACCTTGTCTTTCAGTTCCAGTAAAATGATATAAATGGAAATCAATCAGCTACATCTTTAAAATGAGATTAGAGGAAGTTGAGATAAAAATAATTCTAATGAACATGCATTCATAATCAGGAAGAGATTTAGCCGTTTGAAATATGTCAATTGCATTATTTTGAAAATCTTCAAATCATCTAATTTGATTTTACATCAAGATTTAAGTGATACAAATGAAATTTACACAAATCTAATGACGTGTCTGCAAGTATTTGTAACATTTGCATTTATGAAAGGAAAAGAGAACAAGAACAAATGGCCCTGATGGTTACACAATGGGGTTTTATCTAAAATGTTGGGACATCATTAAACAAGATATTATGGGGGCATTCCATAATTTTCACTCAACTGGGATGTTTGAAAAAAGCTATAATGCAACATACATAGCACTGATTCCTAGGAAGACAGGAGCAAAGGAACTCAATGACTTCAGACCCATCAGTTTAATTGGAAGCTTTTACAAGCTGATTTCCAAGGTACTGACAGAAAGACTCAAGAGAGTTGTGGATAAATTGGTAGACAAGCAACAAATGGCTTTTATCAAAGGCAGGCAAATAATAGATGCAGTGCTCATAGCTAATGAAGCAATTGATTCCAGAGTGGCCCAGAAAAAACCCGGTATATTATGCAAACTTGATATTGAGAAAACATATGACCATGTGAACTGGGAATTCATTTTATGTATGCTGAGTCAAATGGGTTTTGGTGGGTGGTGGACCAGCTGGATCAAGTTTTGTATCTCAACTGTGAAGTTTTCAATTCCCATTAATGGGTCACCTGAAGGATTCTTCATTGCACATAGAGGGATCAGGCAAGGGGATCCCCCATCCCCTTTCCTGTTCATCATAGCCATGGAGGGTCTCAACAACATGCTGAATATAGCTAAGATAACATGAAGAATTCAGGGATTCAAAGTTAGCAAGGTTGCTGGAAACAATGTAGAGATCACACATCTGCAATATGCTGATAATACACTAATTTTTTGTGGGGCTGAGGAGGAGCAACTCTTGATAATAAAACTTATACTGGTGTACTTTGAAGCCATTTCTGGGCTCCATATAAATTGGAACAAAAGCCACTTGTATCCAATTAATGTGGTTCCAGAAATGGATCACCTTTCTCAGATTCTGGGAGGTGCGATAGGCACTTTGCCATCAATATACTTGGGTATGCCTCTAGGGGCTGAGTATAGGTCCATAGATATTTGGAATCCAATTCTGGAGAAATGTGAAAAGAAATTAGCCAGATGGAGATCACAATATCTATCCTGGGGAGGTAGACTAACTTTGATTAACTCAGTTTTAGATGCCCTCCCTACATATATGTTATCGATCTTCCATATATCCCAGTCAGTAGTTCAAAGGTTGGATAAAATCAGAAGAAACTTCTTGTGGCAAGGCAATAAGGAAAGGAAAGGTTTTCATTTGGTCAAATGGAAGAACATTATCAGAAGTAAAGAACAAGGTAGACTAGGTATCAAGAACCTTAAATACCAAAGCAAAGCACTCAAGGTCAAGTGGCTATGGAGGTACCATCAAGAGGACCAAGCCCTCCGGTACAGGGTAATCAAGAGCAAGTATGAGGAACTGAACACATGGGTAACTAAAGAGGGCAACACCCCCTATGATATTAGCCTCTGGAAATCCATTAGAATATTCTAGCAGTTTCTCAGTAATCAATTAACTGTCAAAGTTCGAAATGGCAGAAAATCAAGTTTTTGGGTTGATAAATGGATGGGTACTGTGAGACTTAAAGATCTTTTTCCTGACATCTTTGTTTTGGCTCAACACCAAGAGAAAACTGTTGCTGAAATGTGGTCACCACAAGGATGGAATATGATCTTTAGAAGAAACTTGAATGATTGGGAAATTCCTAGAATGATTGAACTTTTCAAGTTACTGGAGAGTTTCCAAGGAATCCAAACATGTGAAGACTATTTATGGTGGCATGAGCACAAGAAAGGAAGATACAAGGTGAAGGAAGGATATAAACAAACAAGTCTTAGGGAGAATCAAGACTTCAAATGGCCTTGGAAGCAAATCTGGAGAGTCAAAGTGCCACAAAAAGTGGCATGCCTCACCTGGCTGCTAGCCAATGAAGCAGTTCTGACATTGGACAATGTGGCCAAGAGAGGTATATCTCTATACAACATATGCTCCGTATGTGGTAAGGATACAGAGACAGTAAAACACCTCTTTCTACACTGCAAATTCACTGACCAACTGTGGCAGATTTCCTTAATCTCAGAGGCATTTCCTGGAGTATGCCTAGTAAGATTGATGAGACTCTTTTCAATTGGGAGGAGGCTGGAGTTAGGGGGCTACAAATAGAGAAAGATGGAGGATGATCCCTGCTTGTATATGGTGGTCTATATGGAGAGAGAGAAAATGATAGATGTTTTGAAAATAGGGACAACAACCTGCAGGAAGTCAAGCTTAAATGTATTTTGTTGTTCTGTTTTTGATGTACAAATGTCTATTCCAATGAGACTGAGTCAATCATAGATGTTTTAGGGTCCATCTAGATCCCGGTTTAGCATTGGACAGCTTATAATCTTTTTCTTCTTTTTTGTAAATATGGTTTTTCAGTACTACCTAAGTACTGACTGAAATACAAATGTTACTAGTGTCAAAAACAAAAACAAAAAAGAGAACAAGAACAAGAAATCTCCCGAATGGTATCCAAGAGTTCTTATGAGCATTTAAATTTGATAATGAAAATATATACTCCCTCCGTTTCAAAAAGAAGGACCTCCTTTCCTTTTTAGTCTGTTTAAAAAAGAATGACCTCATTCTTTTTTTGGTAACATTTTAATTTCAGCTTTCCACGTGGCATATTTAAGGCCACAAGATTAAAGGGCAATTTTGTACATTTGACATAACTTTAATTTAGGACCACAAGATTCAAAAGTCTTCTTTATTTTCTTAAACTCCGTGTCAAGTCAAACTAGACCATTTTTTGTGAAACGGGGGGAGTAATTCTTATGTGAGAAATAGGATTTCTTCTTCTTTTCTAAAAAACAAGATAAATGAGTTATATGAGAGTTCTTAAAGTCATACTCTGAACGAAAAGGGCTTAAAAATGTCCTAATGTATTGTAAAGGAGAAAAGGCTCACAACAGTCCACTATTATTTGGACTTAGACTCAAAATGCTTCTATTTCTTTCACATGGTGCACTTTCAGTCATAACCCTTACTATGGTGAATTTTTTAACAGAGACTAAACTTCATATGCTTCTCACATGTTTCTGATCCTAATATCTAAACTCCATTCTTCTCTTCCCTCTTAACTCAGACCATCTGCAGGCAAACATATACATATAGAACTAAAGATATATGGTAGTCTTGTTTGTAACTTCTTCTTTGTTTGCTTCCACATGACTGCTCGGGATGGATTTTCAACTGGATCAATTTTAGTGAACTTCTCGAAAGTTAACCTGTGTATGAAGGAAAATTTGTTTAAATTGCCTAGAGCTTTTTTGACAGTATTCGACGGTCCGTTGACTTTAAGATGGTTAACAGGGTCTTCCTAGTCTTCCATAACAACTATTAATTTCTCACCTATAATTACTCCAAGTTAATTACTTTGTATGTAAATATGTTTCTGGTGGAATAATTGGAAGTTCATTATACCAGCAAGGCTTTCTAGCTGTTGTTAAATGGGTTGAGATTCAATGACTAGGTGACAATATTAGTACAAGTCAAAAACTGTAAATTGAGTTGGCAGTGATAAATTCTCCACACATGGATATAGTATGACTAATTTAGCAGAAAACTAAATATTCTGCCATCAGTAACTCAGTTTTTTCTCTACCAAAAGTTCCCCAGCTTTCGCATAAAGCTTAGAACTTTCCACAACAAAAATCTAAAATATTAAATTCCAAGCTTCACATAGAGAGTACTAAATAAGATCCTTGTAAAGATAACCTAGCCAGAAGATATAATAGCTTAGAACACTATGAAAATTACCTGCTCTGAGAAATATGATAGATCTGACCATTGATTGCCATCTTCTTTGAATCATACTGCTCCAATTCCTCTTCAGAAATCTCTCCAAGCTGAAATGGAGGTTGCATCTGTTCCTCGAAATCTCTGGTGGTGAGCACGATCTGGTGAACCAAAAAACTCCGAGACAACATAGTGTAAAAGAAATTGCCGGAGAGAGAGCTGTGACAGAATCTTCCAGTGTTTGCCATAGCTCTACAGCCATACTTGTACTTGGGAAGAAGAAGAATGAGGAGACCACAATAGCTTCCTTCCATTATTGAATGAAATTGAAAATTAATCTACACTAAAATAGTTTACATTGATTTTATTTTGAGAAAATTTTACGTATAGCAAATTAAAAATTGCTAATTGTATGCTATAGCAAATTTTATAAAATTGCAGTTCGTAGCAAAATTTTAGTTTGCTACAGATGTGTCTTTCTGTGTATTCGCTAGTCAGTCTTTTTTTTTTGTTTTAAAAAATAAATAAAAAGGCGCGTTAATTTAATTTGTGTATGTAATTGTTTATATATAAATGTATATGCAGAATGTGTATATAAACGTTTATATGAGTATATAATGGGAATATGTATATATGTGAATAATTGAAGTTGCTAGAATTTGTATAAATATATGTTTTGTTTGTTGTTGAAATTCTTAATCATATAAATGTATATGTATATATAACTTATTTTTTTATACAGAAATTTTGAAAATGGCTTCATTAGCTATTTTGGTGATGCATTCCGGTAGATGGGACAGTGACAATTGTTACGTTGATTATACAATTGAGGGGGTGATTTTTAAGAAAGTTCATCGTATAAGGAGTGTATAATGTTATTGCAATGCAACTCGGTGTTGATACAAATGTGATTAAGCTGAAAATTGAGTATAAGGTTAAAGAAAGCAAAACGCCAATGTTGATTCACATATTAAAATATATTAAAATAGATACAAGTGTATAAGTGTGAGCAAATATGTATGTTTAAAGGAACATTATACAATAACTACTAATATTATACATTTATAGAACCACAATTGTATAAGCAAACAGTAGAAGACATGAATCAACACAAAAAAATATAAAAATAATGATTATACAGTCCAATAACCCACATAATTATACAGTCCAATGACCCACATAATTATACGGTCCAATGACCCACATAATTATACAGTCCAATGACCCACAAACAACAACTTTAGTTTTATCATTGTGATCAGTATAAACGTCAGTTTTATCTTTCCTTTTTTACTTGACCCAGAAATAAGTGTATAAGTGTGAGCAAATGTGTATGTTTAAAGAAACACTATACAATAACTACTAATATTATACATTTATACAACCACAATTGTATAAGCAAACAGTATAAGACATGAATCAACACAAAAAATGTAAAATTAATGATTATACAGTAAATGATTGAAAAAAATAAGTTATATATACATATACATTTAAATTGAAAGAATTGAAAAAAAATTAACAAAAATTAATAGAATGAGATGAGTTTTGGCGGTTCCTGAAATTTTTGAAGTAATGTTTCTCTTTTGAAAACGAGACGAGGACGTGCTGGAGAAATTTGTAATTTGTATTTGGGGAGAAGATTTGGGAGAATTTGAAGGAAATAGGAGAAGAGATTGTATAAAAGAAAGGGAAAAGGAAAAACGTATGTTTTATTTTTTTTAATAAATTATACAAATCGGTGGGGCCCTATAATAGCAAAGTGACCGAGATTTTGCTTATTAAAGGAAATAACTAAAACAGTAGTTAGTGCATTTAATTAACATTATTAGTTTGCCATTCTGTACAATTATCCCTTTTATTTTTTATTGTTGGTTAGTGTTGGCCGTTGGGTCATAAGGCAAACCTTGAAAGAGCTGGGTGAGAACATAAACGAGAAATATATAAAAAGAGATAAAAATATTTAATGTGATTTGATCCATCAATCTACGTTTACAAGAGGAGTCTGTTATATATAAATGAGAGTACATAATATCGAGGAAAGAAATGTCTCACACAATTTATTTGGAATAAAAAGAGGAAAGTACACCAATATCAAGAAGAGAAATACCTCACATAATTCATTTAGAATAAAAAAAGTTCACATAAATGTTAACGTAACACTTGTGTCTCACAGATTCTCCCTCTACACAAAATTTTCAAATCCCGTAGAACTACCTTGTGAATCTATTAATTATAAGAAATGAACCTATTTATAAAGTCATGAACATTTTCCTACAAGAGAAAGGACTAAACAAATATGAAGACTTTGTGTTTTCGTTTTAGAAAAATGAAAACTAAATTATGATAAGAAATCAGGGCAAATACCGAACACTTACCTATTGTATTGTAAAATTTATTTAAATATCATATTTGTGTTGATTGTATTTAATTTATTGTATTACCCGCTAACGAACCGAATCCCCACCAATAACTAAGATTGCTCAGGGTTGGATAATCTATTAAATGTTGATTAAGTGTGGTGGATATAGGTTGCTTAAGAAGAGAGAATTGTTATATCATTCTTTAAGTTTAAATATAATATTTATTTTGATATAAACCTATCAATTGGGTCGGTCCATCCAATTTGGGCCCATTAAGGCAAGCCTGATAAGGGTCCGCTCCGATAAGGTCCGAACCGACAACCAACCCTCTATATTAGTAGGATGGGCTGGTCCGGATTATTTTCACCCACAGATCGCTAAGGCGGCCCATCGATGTACTGGTCCAGAGCGGTTTGGTAACAAAAAAAATTGTGGATGATATCTGTTGGGTCACTTTATGATAAAGTGGCTAAAATGGCTTCTTTCTAAAAAATAAAATAAGTTTATTATATATATAAATGTAAGTATTCTATTATATTAAGTAGTATATTTAGTATATATTAGAAGTATATATATATATATATATATATATATAATATAATGTAAGTATCTTATTATATTAAGTAATGTAAGTATTCTAATATAATAGATAACATATTGTGTGTATATTTAATATATATTAGAAATATATGTATAATATAATGTAAGTATTCTACTATAATAGGTAGTATATTGTGTGTATATTTAGTATATATTAAAAGTGTATATAATACAATGTAAGTATTCTATTATATTAAGTAGAATATGTGGTATACATAAATAGATAACAATACATTATATTAATAATTGACTCAAATTTGGAATAAATAATTAATAAACATTAATTTAAAAAACTAGATGACCTAGCCCGGCCCATCATTGGAAACCAGGCCCGACTCATCAGGCCCTGTAGCAAAATCCTAATCAGGTAGGACTGGGCATAATTACCGAAAAATCAAAACACCGAACCGAATCAATTTTTTTTGGTATTTCGATTTCGGTATTTTGATTTTCGGTTCGGTTTTCGGTATATATTTTCATATTTTTGGTTTGGTTTTTGGTATGTAATTTTTGTTTTTTCTGTATTTCGGTTTAACCGAAATATATTATATTATAATATATATTAATATTATATTAATTATTAATATTAAATATTATAGGAAAAATGCAAATTAGGTCAAGACTTTTCAAATTTTTAAGTTTTCACTTTTCATCGCCGCACACTTTTCAAAATTTTAAGTTTACAATTTTCAATTTTTCATCGCCGCACACTGCACAAACTTTTCAAAGTTCAAACTCCTTACTCCTCTGTCTCCCATCGCTGACGTCCAGCCGACCGCTTTCCCACTTCCCACTTTCCTGCGCCGACCGCTGTGACCAGAATCCAGAAGCAGCCGACCAGCAGCAACCGGCCGACGAGGCGGCGACCAGCACTCCAGCAGGTAACTTATATTGTGATTATTTTTTATTTTCAAGAAAAATCGAACTAACAAAAACCAAATCGAAATAATTTTATTTTTTAAATTAAAAGGTGGTTGAAAACCCTTTATTAAAATAGAGGAATAAACAAAACAAGAACAAAAAAAAGGATTAGGCCCAAACCAAGCCCAATCCCAAAATCTGGAAACAAAGCTAAGAAAAGGAAACTAATCTAAAACTAAAGCACACAAAAAGAAAACAAATGAGCCCTCACAAAACAACAGAGCAGACGCCTCCTTCAAATTTGATCCTCCAAGCTGCAACTGTTCAACAATGGTGACCTCTAATGACGGATCCCAGAGCAATCGATGAGCAGTGAGCTCGCCTTAATCACCACAGAAATGGGGAAATTAGTGTCAAGCTTGGATAGAATACACTTGAGACGTTATACTTCTCACTAACGCCATGTATTCTTGTCCATCAAAGACTTCTTTAGCTCAACCCATCTTGGTCCAGCTCATGTGTGAAAGGTAATCCCATAACCCCTATCGAAATTTCAAAAAGGAGCTCAATTTTACATTGTTATGTAGTGCCCTTGTACTGATGTACTATAGATCCTATTTCAGACCTGTTCCAGGTGGAAATCTGCAGTTCTCATTCCGATAAGTATAAACACAACATTATCCATTATTGATGTTTCTATCAGTGCCTTCTAGATTACCATTTTCCTTAAATCTTCGCCTTTTGACAGACTGAGCTCTGAGGGAACTAATACCACTGTCTAAAAAACCAAGATCTAAAGTCCATAGGCTTCTGTTAGGTGCTTTCTTCCTCTTCTCTAATTGCCTTTTACTGTATCCACATTCCATTGCGTGCATATTTCTAATTTACCTATTACAAATCATATAGTTAGTTTTGCATTTTAGAAATTCTAATGTTTGGAATCTGATTTGCATCCATGATTAATAAAGATTTTCCTTCTTTTGATACTTCTTGTATTGACTGAAAAGTTTTAGTTTATGTACCTGCAAAAGAAAAAATAAAGTTAGTGAAATAGTCTGCCACTTTGTTGCCTTCCCTGAATGTATGTAACACTTTCACCTCCCTATCGTTTCTCAAAAAGTTAATCTTATTTATCAGCAGCTTTATACACCAAGGGACTTCCCAAATTCCATTTAAAATTTTGACCAGCACTAATAAATCAGTCTCTAAGCACACATGAAGTAAATTATGTGCAACACAATAATTTAATCCTTTCTCCAGGCACTAGTTTCAGCCTCCAAACTTGTTATCATGCCAAGCTTATAGGTTGCAGCAAATATAAAATCTCCTTTCCAATTTCTAATGCAAAACCCACCAGCACTTTGACCAGGGTTTCCTTTAGAAGCTCCACCTGAATTACACTTGTAAGTCCCATCATTAGGAGGTTTCCAGTAAATAACAGTATGAAGTATAGTTGGTTTTATATCCTTCAAGAAAATGCACCAAATTTGACCAATCCTCAGGGATATTCCTCACCCAAGTT